GCTGGCGCGGCTCTGCTGCGAGTACTGCCGCCGCTGCGACCCGGGGGCCGCCGCCGTCCCCCGCCCGCGGGTGCTGCGCGTCCTCGGCCGCCGCTTCGCGGAGCTGCACGCCGCCGTGGACGGTCTCCCCGTGGAGAGCTCCAGGGTCCTGCCCGGGCTCGTTCTCCGCAGGGATTTCGCGGCCTACTGCCCGGCGGGAGGGGAGCTGCGGGCCGTGCTGGTCACCGAGCCCCTCCGGCCCCCGCTCTCGGCCCCCGGCGGCGAGTTCGCGGTCAGCTCCGAGGGTCAGTACGGGGCCTCCCGGCGCTGGATAGCGAGGAGGACGGAAGACTTGATGAAACGCTTGCGGAGGGGCAACGTTAAGCTGCTGCTGTCGAGCGTGAAGCAAGAGGAGGTCGTTATCTACTACGCGAAGTTACACGGCGTGTCTGTGGTGGAGTGCTTATCGTCAGAGGAAGTGGCCCTCGTCTGCGAAATCACGGGAGTCGTGCCTTACGCGCCTTTCGGCGATAACGGGCACGGAGAAATCACCGACGCCGCGGCCGCGACCTTTTGCCGACCCTTGCTGCTGGGCTCAAAGAGGTGCGCTCACATTGGCTTCACCGGCCTGCGCGCCTTTCGGCCCCACTGCCTCATTCTCTGTGGGCCGGTTGACAGCGTTAACGAGCAGCATGCTGCTGCTTTACAAGGGGCGTTTACGATGCTGCAGCAGCTATTTAAAACGGTCGATCAGAGGGAGGAATGCAAAGGAGAAGGTGAAAGCCAGAATGAAGCCTCAGAGGTCTGCAGCTGGCATCCTTCAGCTGCTAGGCAGCAACTCCTAATAGAAAATATTTCTTGTAACGGTGATCGGGTTTCTGAACATCAGCTGAAAGCACATAAGGACGAAACAGAGACGCAGATTGTAGACCCTGGTTTGCAGGGAAGCGAAAATCCAGCACGTGTGCAAACAGACTTGCAAATACCCTCAAATCCCGTCTCGCACACCAAAGAATTCAGTGTTGCCACTGAAGGAATTGGCTCTTCAGGGGGCATACAGAAACTGCACGCAAAAGGCGAGCAGCCGAGTGGCGTGCACGAGAGCTGTAAAAGCGATTCACTTGTGGACAATCAGAAGAACTACAGCACTGCTGTGTTTGCCGCACGCAACGCTAATGCAGTCACTGCGTGCGAACACCTAGATGTTGGCAAAGACCTAGAGAAAACAAGTTGCAATATAGTTCCATGTAAACATGAAAAGAGTTGTGTAAGCATTGCACAGAATTACTCCAGCTCCCTCATAGAAGCAGGATCGGTTTTGCCAGTAGGAGGTTACTTTGAAATACTGCTACATTATTATATTCGGTACTATGCAAAACAGTGTCAGCAGTCAGAAGTAACTTTCGTATCTAATGTAGTTGCTGATGCTTTGCTAAGTATTCCCAAGTCCTTGTACAGGACAACAGAACAAAACAGCTTTACCAAATTCTATCTCAGTGCCGTAAATGTACTCAGAAAAAATCAGCCACTGCCTATGAACGAAAAAGGCTTAGAATTGGTGTATTGCAAATACCAGTTAGTTATTTCAGTTCTTCATTGTGCTACAGAGCTTCTCTCCATAGATTTAATAATTAGTATTAAGCGGCCACTGAAAAAAATTGAGGATTGTGACTCAGAAGATGACTTCTGAAATCGTTAATAAAGAATATTTTTGATTATGTGTTTTCTTGCGTTGTCTTGTCAAACGGGCGTGTCTCAAAATTCAGTGGGAGAGACTAAAAGATGCCTTTTTAGGCTCAGAGTCCTAATGTGCTGCTTTTCTTTTAGAAGAAAAGCAAGAAAAAGGCTAACCAGCTGAGATTTGTGGAAAACTCTGTTGTGCTGTCTGAACAGCACAAACGTGAAGTTTCAAACATGAGAAAGCGTAGCTGATTTCCACTGCAGAAGATGCGCAATGCCATCTTCATCCTCATGCAGAGGCTCCTGTGTACATTCTAGCCGAGGGTGAACTTTACCTCGTCTGGCGGTTTTTGAGTATTTATGCAAGCTAGATGTGATTGGTTTTCCTGGCACGTTAAAAGTTGCTAGTATGGCATGAGCCACTGAGCTTGCAAGTTATAAGGAAGGGGGTTTTTTTTAGCTTTCATGATAGGCTGGATTGACTGTTATTTTAAATAAAAATATTTCTGTATATATTGTGGTTTTGAATATAATGGGAAAAACATAGCTGTGGTTAGCCCATTCAGTGTTGGGGCAGGCAGTGGTAGGCCACTGCAGCATGTCCCAGTGAAGAATTTTCTCATCGGGTAGGAGATGCAGCATTTTTATCCTCCATGGAGTTCATTTCAGTCAAACTAGTGGAATTTAAGAATAACTTCATATTGCACATGGCTGGCATTTGCTCTGGCACATTAGTTTATGTGACGTTACTTAGTATGACTATTAATTTTAATTATCCTGGGTTGAGTTGTGCTGCTACTACAAAAGGCCACGTAATCATGGGAAAAGCGTACGCAGGCCATAATGCAGGTTTGTGTGAAAAACCTGAGATGGTGTTTTAGTTCAGACGTCGATCATTCGGGATTTTATTCTGGGGGTTTTTTGTTTGCTTGCTTGTTTTTTCTTTTATTTCCCCACAGGATTTTCACTCTAATACAATTTGCTTTAAGCTCAGTATCACGTGGATGTCAGTATACCTCCTTTTCTGCGGTGTCTTAAAAAATTCTGGTTTGGTGAGAGAGATTTTTGAGTAACTGAACAGCTGCAGCTGATAACGGTATCACATTGGTTCTCTTTGTGCCATGGCCAGTATTGTGTAGTACTTGGACTAACTGGGGGTTTTTTTAATCTGCCATTAAATCAAATTTAGTGAGGATATTTAAAATCGTAAGCACAAATCATATTTCTCTGCGATACCTGAGATGATTACAACCGGAAATCAGATATATATTTTTTTCTCCATTAATTTATGCTGTTGCTTTCCCTTTTTCAGTTTCTTCAGAAGAGTCTCATCTGCCAAAGTTCTTCAGACGTTCCGGCAGCAATGCTTTGTTTGACTGCAACTTTCTGATGATATTCTTGGTAATACGAAATGTTGTAATAATTTTTTTTCCCCTGACTAATACACTCTTACAGGTATCTGCATATGAAAACCAGCAAAACTCGGTGTTCAGTAGAGTGATTTCTTTAATGAAGGACTACGGACAGTAATTCATTTTTTTAGAATCATTTTTGGTGGGTGCAGAGGTGGGAGCAAATGCAAATCACATTCTTGCTGTTGCCACATGCTTTTGGTGGGTGCTTAATGTGACAGGTCCAGGACGAGCGAAGAGAAACCTCCCTTGTAGAAGAGCTGGTGTTTCGGAGCTGTGTGCCCTGCTTGCCCGGACAGTCTGGACGCCACTTGGGAGCTTCTGCCAGCCCTGGTGCTTCAGCAGGCAGTTGGGTTCTGTATTTTAACGTTGTAATTAGCTGCCGAGACAGTTTTGCTGTTGCACAAGTTTCTGCATACTCTCTTCAAACTGCTGACCTAACGTGCTGGCTAAAGATTAATGATTTGCTTTGTGGTAGTCTTTTAACAACTGTGGCACAGAGCGCGTGAAGCCTGGCAGCGGTGGGGGTTGTCTGCAGAAGCTGCTTTTGTATTTGGAAGCAAGGTGCTCTCTAAATGCAGGTAAAATAAAGAGAATACTGTATAATTTCATGTTAATTTATACCCTTTGCACATCTGCACACTTTCAGGTTTACTGCAGTTCCTTGAAAAAGGTTAAACCAAAAATATTTTGGTATGTGGATGGTCTTTTGGCTGTTTCCTTTAAATTGTGTCATTCTTGCTGTTGAGAAGAACAAAGTCCCAAAAATTTTATGCTACTCAAAACTCATATTTTTTGTATGCCAGAGATACAAGGGAGAATTTAAAAATGGCAGTTATATAAAACTTCTCTGTTTCTGGTGAAACCTCTTGAGCCTGAGGGCTCATTGACTCAGGTGCTGTATTTTGTTGACTCCTCTGTCTTTTTGTAATTTGCAAATGACCAGTTTTCCCTTTCGAACTACTGATTCCCTGTTTTGTGTGGAGAACTGAGAACATGGCATGCCTTTGCCTTGGAGAGGAATATCTCTGTCCTGGACTGCTGGCGTGGATGCTTCTTCAGGACATGGCTGTTTGGTTTCCAGTCCTGGAGTCTAAGCGCATTACAAGATGTGCACCAGCTCAAGGGAAAAAAAAAAAAAGGCATTAACTTAGTCTTTTGGGAGAAGAGCAGATTTACTTCTGGATTCAGCCCTTTCTTATCTTCAGGAGTCTTTTCCGTTAATTAGCGCAGAAGTGTAATCATGACCTAATCTTAGAAAATATTTTGGGTTCACTGCTGTCACATCTACTCTTAAAGAGAAAAGCTGTTTGTAGCCCTGAGAAGCGGCGCAGCCTGCGTGCTGGGCTGCAGCTCAGGTGCTGCCAGTGCCGTTCCTCCTCCGCTGACATTTCTGACCCGCTTCAGCAGCTGACCCCGACCGCAGAGGCTGCGGTTACCCAGTCACCCTACTCGGGCTGTTACTGCTCCTTAGTACCTAAGCATTAGGTATGCAATTATTCATGACATCTTACAGCTATCTCAAATTTTAAAGCTATGTATAATCTAGCATGCCCTTTGGCAGGTGACATGGGGACGATTCTAAGAGTGATCTCTTGACATAGTGGCAGGGACAAAGGGGTTACTTGGGAGAATGTGTTTACTCAGTCAAAACCGCAGGGAGTGGTATGTTTGGGCACGCGCTAAGGTTGTAAAAGCCCATGGGTTTTTCTTCTTGTACTGTTTCCCAGAGACTATTTCTATTTTGTGCTATTATTCTATCATTTTTATATTTCTAAGTACAGATTGCCCTCCACGCGAAGTGAACGTCAGCTACATGTGGACATGTGTGTGGGCTCGGGTCCAAACTCAAAATGCAATGTAAAGTACAGGGATACTGTTATTGATAGCCTAAAATTAAAAGAATGGTTTTAGAAAAATCTTGATGTTTAACTCTCCTTTTTGCGGCCCCTAGCAAACCTATTTTCTACCCCACATGAAATTACTCAGAATATGTTGAAGGCGCTCGCCCCAGCCCCAAGGAGCGTGGGTGCTTTTTAAGCAAGGTAATCCCATTTGTCAGGTAGCAAATTCACATACACAGGCAGATAGTTGCTTTTTTTAAAATCTAAAAAAAAAAAATGGGTTTCAAGACGCATGTATGGTGAGACAAGATTGAAACTGCATCCTGCACACAGCTCTCAAGAATGGGAATAATCTGTTTATGTGACAAGGATACACCGGTTTTGTTTGTTGATTTGGGTGGGGGTTGAGTCTCAACAGACTTTTTAACGGCTGCTGGGACTGCACCGAGACAGCCTCTGTTCCCCAGCGCTCCTTCACCTGCCTTTCCCCATTGCCTGACCCTGGCAACTCACTGCTCAGCACCTTCCTGGGCCCTTCTCGCTATTAGCAACCTAAATATGGCCAGTTGATTACTAACCTTTAGCCTTTCTGGCAGCTATACAGAGCGTATCGCTAATAGGAACCAGTTGCAACAAAGAATAGTGTTCTGCTGTGTCACAAATCACATACTACTGAATCATATTTGCAAGAGGGAGTAGGGGAATGCAAGATTTTGTTTAGGAGCTTAACTGTATAGTGGCATAACTCTGGTGATTTTATATTATTTCTGTTGTTATCTTCATGACAGTCATCTTCCAGAGTCCACAGGTGGGTGATAAATCATACCACGTAAGAAGATTAAGGAAGATTAAATTATTCACTTGCATATATCTCCTGGACTTCACTAGAATTGCGTTCATCTGAGCCTGTATTTAGTTTGCTTTTTGTTATGTAACAAATCTGCTATTAGTGGTAGAGACTTCCATTTTTTATTACTAAATTTATTTCTATGCTTGTTTAGGTTAATCTGTCCCCTTGTGTATTTTTTGGCGAGGTTCTTTTAAATCTCATGTTAAGAGAAAGTATTTCAATGTTCGGTTGCAAAAATCTCTTTAGTTTCATTACCTTGAAATCTAAGAAGCCTCTTTTTTGTCACCAGTAAACCCAGAGATTAAATACGTGCTTTATTTGCTATACCATTTATCACTTTATTACTATTAAGACTGAACAAATCTAAAGAGTAATGTCTGAATTTGTAAACAGTAGCTTTGGAAATGCGTTGGCTGTAATTAACACGATTGTAATTTCGCAGTAGCTTTTTGTGTAAGGCATTATTTGTGTTCTGTTAATGAGACTAGAAATAGATGTTTGGATCTAGGATTATACAAATTGCTTCCCTCCAAGAATCTTAAACTAATAATTCCTTCCAGGAATAAGAATTTTAATTTTAGCATTCCAAAGCTAAAAATAATGGTAGCAAAGATGTAACGTTTAATATATAGTAGCTTCTTCTTTATTATGTGATTAAATAGAAGACTAGACTTTGGAAGCAATGCTTATTCCTGTGATAGATGGAGCAGTGCACTCTTGTTAAAAACAGTCTTGGCAAAAAGAATGCAAAATAGTTTTCTGTAGGAAAACCATTCCTGCTGGTTCAGCAGACAGTTTATTTCTCATGAAATCGCCAGCAGATAAAAGAACTGTTACACTGAGGCTGTGGTTCAGTGCGGGATTAAGGACACATCAGTAATATTGTCTCCTGCGTGGCTGCGTCCTCAGCCACCCACAGCAGAACTCACTATGAAAGATAATATTTCCATTGAAGGTATTTTTAAAAATGTATTGTTTTACCGAACAGAATTTCTAACCTGTGCTTATTTTGAGATTTCCAGTAAAACAATCCAGCATGGTGATCTTTCTTTTGATAATAATCATGACCTGTTTTCAGTGAGTGTCTTCATTTTCCAGTCTAAGCATCTAATTAAATATTACTTTAAAATGTGAATGCAGAGTGAACACATGGCAGGGATTTCTCTGGTATGTGGGGAAAAGGCAGCTCCAGATGAGAGTTACGCCCGTTGAGATTTTAACATTAGATGTGATACGTGTCTGGTATCATGTATGAGGATTATATTTAGGCTTTTGGAGCAATGAAAGTCAGTGTAGAAACTGCTGGATTATATTCATAGGGCAAATAAATTGCATGGGAACTGTTTCCTAAAACCAGAAATACTCTGAG